CAGCTGGAGTGCTGGGTCAGAGTCAAACAGTCAGTTTGGGGGCCAGGCACCACGGGCACATGATGAAAATCTATTTTCCAAATTACACCACTTTTACAGTAGAAAAACGATAACCATTAGTTCTCATTAACGCTTGATTGCATCTGTACACTGTCCATGCATGAATTATACAGTGAGAAGAAAATCAGTTGAGAGTATTGTATTTAAGGTGGAGATATGCTGCCCTCACATGTCAGTACGACCACATTACATGCAAAGTGCTGCTTAGGGTGTGTTGTCGTCTTAGCTGATACTCGGTGTCCATGCTGCAATGCTCTCTTATCCCTAGGTGGCAGCAGATATCCAAAATATCTTTACACTTGCATCTTTCAGATGGTTTTGCAAGAATCAGTTTTACCCTGCTTACTTACTGCCATGCGTCTGTTTAATTAATTTACAACTAAAACAAAACCTTTAAAGCCGGAAGTTTTCAAATCTTACAAATTAAATCAAGTAAGGACAAGTAACATAGTAACACAACCACGTGTACAGTCGAATGCAGTGGAATATATCAATTTATTAAACATACATTGTTTAACTATGTTGAGACAAAGGTGTTGGTTCAAGCCCCATTTTTGTGACTCTGCAGTTGTTGGTGTTCTTGTATTTGGTTGCATTATTCTATCCAACAATTAAAGTTCACTCCAAAAATTGGGTTTGGTGTTTCAACATTCCCAAAAACAACGTGTTAACTGTTTCCTCTCTGGGAATCACTGTCCGAATTGTTTAACCAGTTTCCTTTTGGGAATTTACACATTCTTACCAAGTTCAGTCGAATTCTTTGTGTGACTGTGTCATTATGTGGCCACAGTTCATTTTTCTCGTGTTCTGGCTTATGCTGAGGAGGCAGAGGTGAAGCGTTGTCACTGGCCTGGCAATCAAACTGAGCCTTCTTTGTGCTTGGTGATGATGAATGTTAGCTGGAGCACTACAGCGACATCTGGCAATGACGCGTTACGTCCACAGCGGTCACGAAGAGCTGGCCGTCTCAATGTATTGTGTAAATCATCTCGAAAGAATGTCATTTTTATGATGCGGAGAAGCTGTGCGGGATTGGCTCTGCATCCTCTGTTGCTGCTGTTACATAATGAATAACCATATGGTTGAGTCTATGTGTCATTGTGCGTGCTGATGTGTGTGGTTGTATGTGAGTTTAGTCAGACTCCTCCAGATCTCTGCCTACGCAGATTAATATCTGCAGTCCACAAAGGAGCCCTGTGTGCCTTGCAGAACAGACTCTCAGGACAATGAATCCACTGTCCGACAACACCATCTCCCTCTCAAGCTAACTGATATGCACCCCTTAGTCCTGAGATTATAGGGAACTCAGTCTTTCTGCACCAAAGGTGATAATTGAATGGCGGAGCCATGCTCCGAGCTTTCTCAAAGCCTGTCATCGAGTCATTCATCTCGACTGAAGAACATTGAATTAGAGTAGCCAGCAGTGTTCATGCTTGTCCCTCTACTTCTGACTTTTGGATGTGGCTTTTTTAATCAAATTACACAAATGTTCTGTCTTTATTTAAAAAAAATAAAGAATAAGAGACGAAATACAGAGTATGCACCAAAAGGTTAAAGACAAAACAAGAAAGTTGGAGATACAATAGAGCTTGATTCAAATCAAACTGCCTTCCCAGGCCATGATGCTGCATTTCTACCACCCTGCTGATGCACAATACCGCCACAGCGTGATTTTCTTTGATTTTCTTTTCACGTGATTTGAAGAGTAATTGATTATGAAATAAAAACTACAAGAGTCAGTGAGAGGGAGAGGGTCTTTTCAAACCATACTAGCCAGTCATTCATTATCGCTCCCCTTTTTTCCCTCGTTAGTCACACTGATATCCACTGGACATAATTATGCACACCCCTCCCTGCACAACTGACCTCTACTTTTCTCTCCCATGACCCGGAAACCAATGTTCATGCCAGTACTGTATGTTGCCTTTTGTTAGTGGAGGAGGCAAGAGAAGCTATTTTTAAACCTCCTACAGTGGAGGATGTTCACATGCATCCTCTCCATGAAATATGCTGACATTATGGCAAGTATAGATGCATCAAATGATGGATAAAAAGGACAGAGTTTGACTTAATTATTCAGAAAGAAATACAAAATATACAGTAGTTGTAGTAATTACCACTGAAAAAGGGTATGTGTAAATGTGCTGCACGTTTGTATGAGCATGTGTGCTCAAGAGAGCTTGCATGTGTGGTCATGGCTCTAATGGTGTTGAAGAAAATCATCATATAACTTAAGATTGAACTGAACACATTTGGGCTCACAAGCAACCCGTTTATATAACGTGTTATGTTACACACATTCTGGTTCATAACAACATTTTTAGGAAGTGATTAGGGAGCGGCAGACAAATTGTAATAAATCTCTCCAATCTTACCAAAACATTTCCCGTACATGAGTCGTGTGTTATCTTGACCTAAACAAAGTCATGAGAACATGACATAATGAAGAGGCCAGATGTGCTTTGTTTTTGGTTCAACAGACTGGTTTGATTGGTGGAAAGTAACTTAAGGGGGGTGAATCTTGACTATAAAAGTGATCTGTGAAAAGTAATACATTGGGATTGTTTCGATATGCTGAACTTGTAATATGTTGGCAAGTGTGTATTAAAAGACTCCCCACTGGTTGCAACATCAGTTCGCCGTCTCTTCTCGTCATTTTGCCACAACAATGGGTGAAAGGATGAGAGGAGGCAGGAGAAAGAGGGGGAGATCTACTGTACATGAGATGGAGAGCATGAAATAACAGCCAGAGGTATGTGATAAAATGTACGTTTGAAGTTTCAGAGGGTTGGACATATTATTAAAATGGCTTCTTTTTACCAAACTGAGGATAATATAACAGACGGAGATGAGATTTATCAGCATGTACAGTCCATTAGTTATACTACAGCATGTGATTGAATATGTAGAATAAAGCCAAAACGGGATTCTGGGGGATTTGAGTAGATGAAAGAGCATGTTATGTGTGCTTTACCACATACAGCACATTCAGTTGAAGAGAAATTGAGTTGATACACTTTTTTTTTCTCTGCTAAATATTTTTTTTATAATGAAGATTAAGGCATGTGGCAGTCCAAGGTTTACTACCACACACACAGAAGATGAATATGAATAATGTGAATAAGAGTATTATAAATAGGTTTGTAGCACAAAGTTTAAAATGCAACACTGATAAACTCCTGGACAGATCTTTTTCAGATGATACAATTTGGCAGTTTTCTGAAGGCCGATCTCTAGTTAAGCTTTTTATTAATTCACTTCAGCTGATGGGACCTTTGGGATTGCATTTCCATAAATGATTTACTTGAGCAGAAGATTTACACATTTATCCAGATGTGTTTTATTCTTTAAAAGAAACCGCTTGAAAAATGTCTTAGAAATTCAAATGTCGCTGCGTGTGAGGTCACAGCACACAAACAAGATAACTCGGGGGGAAAAAAAACAAGAAAAAAAACAAGCTACATCAGCTTTTCAACTTCAATGCACACTGAATATAAAACTACAGTGGATTTCAGAGGGCATTCATATGCATGAGTCATCAGCTGAGTCATACTTTTCCTATCATGCCGAAGCTCAAAAAGCAGTCAGACCTCATTCTTCTCCCCCATCAAGCTGAGTTGGTATGTGTGGAGGGAATTGCTGTAGAAGGACGGGTTGCAGCAAAAAAACAAAAACAGCCAGCCCACAGATTGATTTGGGTTTATTAAATTTGGCCCATTGCATCTCTCTGCTGGCCAACAGTGCAAATCAAAGGCAAACCGCCCTGTTAGGGTGCCACATGCTACGGTTCCCCCCTGCTGTGCGAGCAAACAAAACAACTTTCTCTTCCCTTTGTATCCTTGTTCTCTCAGGTACCATTCACGTGAAAGCTGAAATAAAAATGTGTTGCATAAGGCTCTCTTTGGTCATTGAAGGGGTAGGGGGTCAGTGGAGTATTTGACTCACAGCATTGTTTTTTGTGTGTTTTACAAAAGCATGTATGTGGTTTTTCTTTTGTGTTTTTTAAATTGTTGCATTTCAAATATAGTGTTGGACTCTGACAGTATTCTGTTAAAATCGCAGCAATGTTTTCCTGTAATGCAACACAGAGATGAGCAAGAAAAATATTCTGTATGTTGTGAATTATAAATTAAACTGTATTATAAATTAAAACGAAGTAGATTGTTTTAATATTTCTCTACCACAATTACATTCTGGGTGGTGTGATCAAAGCTTTAAAACTGCCTTTGAACCCTCCTAAAGGTAAACATGGTCGGTTAAATGAAGTAAACGTGAAAAGATTAAGAAAAGCAACAAAGCATCACAAATCACAAGCTGGAATTGTTGTTTACTAAACCACTTAAAATGTTATTACTGTAGCGATTAATCAATTCCCAAAATAATTGTCAATTATTTGTCTGTCCTGCAACTATGAGTTTAATTGAATAAATGTTTCAGATCTATCAGCAACCCAAAGTGATTCTTATTCATTTGCATTACAATTATTTCCCACAATACAGTCTATATAGTCTAATACCTTATAGGTACATATTTCTGTAAAGCTTTATTAAATCTACATAAAAGCCATATAAACCCTTTATGAAGGGTGTCTTATTTTGCATGTATTTTTACATGCACAGTTTATTCTCAGTGAAAACAAAATGTAGGCTGTAGAGACAATTTCTTTTTACATTAGCAATATGGTGTCCTCTCAGAAATACGTTTTTATCACAGAAAACACAGCTGTTATGAATATAGATTTTTTTTTCATAGCTTGAAAGGTAATTCTTTTCAACTCTTTTAATATTATTTATTACTCCTGATCAGACGGCGAGCTGTATTTATTTTGCATGAACATCGCAGGGGTTTCCCCATGACATTGGTTTCCTTTGAAAGCCCGCGCACTATTTAACGGGAGTTTTTTTTTCATTCCGCGGATTAATCCACGTGTGTGAGAAGGCTCCGCTTGTCAGTCAGACTTTGAACAAGTGCACTGGCGCTCATCACCGCTAATCTTCGGCCGCTGCTTGTCACCAACGACGCTGCTGCTGACAGTTATCACCGACCAGCTTTAGCAGTATAGATCAGGATGAACTGTTGCTGAGATAAAGCAGGAAACCGGAGGGCAACACCGTAGGGACCGAGCGGAGATTAAACCTGAACGCCACGCCGTTTAACGCTGTTATTCGGAGTTGCGATGGTCCAGTCAACGGATATTTTTCTAGCCTTGCTTCTTGTGGGCTGTACAGGTAAGACCATCTCACATGCAACACTCCAGATATAAATGTTTATGTTTTGCTCTGGACATCGCCACCCTTTAGCAGTGGTCTGTCACGGCAGCAGGCATCCTCTCGCCTCCTGGTGTTCCTCCTCCTCCCTCCCTCCGCCGCCCGCAGGCACTCTGTACAGCAGGTGCAGCGGTAACGGTACTGCGACTGCTGCTAATTAGCTTACTTGCGAGCAGGGTGATGTGCTGTTTTTTTAAAAGTAAAAACAGCTTGCTGCTAATGTGTTAGGGAACCATTTTCTCTGGAGACACGCACACACACGCACACACAGTGGGCTACATAACCCATATACTCTTCGCGTGACCAGCCAGTACGCTGCTGACTTAGCGGTGTTGTGCATTAAATGAAACATGATGTCCAGAAAGGACACGCTGGTAAATTGTGTTGGAATGAATGTGAGCATTATATATGCCATTTGGGATTTGTTTTTAGCCTATTTATGACCGTGTCGGTGTCGGCCGTTTGTCTCTTCTGGCATGGGACGTGTTTGTTGTTGATGGGGGAGTGATGCTGGGCTCCTTCTATTTGCACACACACACACACACACACACACACACACACACACACACACGCACACACATGCACATATATGCACACACGCTCAAACAGCCTTCAGGGTTGAGTCACGTTCTCTCAGTTAAAGGTACATTGTGCAAAATGAAACACATGGCAATTCTGAAGTGGAGATGTGTGCAGGTGTGATGGCATGATGATAGGAGGGCTTATTGACAATGGATGCAGGCTTGCTTAAAGTACATGAAGGCTCTTTCAGGGACAACGTGGGTTTATTTGGTCTCTCAGGCACACTGATGCATCGTGAGCACAACTTCTACTCTGAATCATCTGTTATGTAATCTGATGCCATGATAAAGGCTTTGAAATGAGATCCTCTAAGTTGTGTCCTTATGTAATTTATAATTGAGGGAGTTTCTGTGACAAATTACATTTTTAATAGCTTTTGCACGCCCATCTTTTGATTAAAATCAGTGATTTGACATGCGAGGCGATTACGGTTGGTGTAGTACTCTCAGCTACACTCGGGCTCAGGGTTTTTGTGGGATAGCCTTTTAATCCTTCATATACAATCCAATATGTGCAGAGGTATCCTCCGGCAAGGGAGGAAAACACACAGGAAGTGGAGCCCTCGCTGCATTGTAATGCTAATGCAATTTCTCTTGGGCTCATTTCATGTAGAAATGTCAATTTGCAAGACCCTCATGATGGGATTCAGTCTCCTCCTAATTTAATTGAAGAATATTCTAATGTATTTGACACGTTATTTAGTTATGCATCTACCGCCGATTGCACTTACAATGATACGACTGCACATCTTGAGAAAGCCTGTTAGTTTAATGGAGGCATTAGATGAGATCTAAAAATAATAAAGAATAAACTGAGAAGCTTCAGCCTCTTAAAATTCTCTGTTCTGTTTGAGGGAGAATACCTACAGTGTAATGGTGGCCCTGTTTGTCAATGCCCTTAAAAACATATCTTTGGCATTTCTGTACTAACGTTTCTTGTCACTTATCTGCAACAACCTAATTTTAGTCGATATATATCAGCCCGGCCGACTTCTGTGTTTATCTGTATTGTCCAACGTAATAAGGAAAGGGAATATGGGGTTTGGTTTTGATCCTTTAAGATAACAGGTGAAACATTTCCTTAAATCTACAATTGTGTACAATAGAAAGCGGATGATGGAACAGGTTGGATATGGCTATAACAGAGTGATTCTGACCTTTCAATAGACTGATCTCTTCTTCACATTAATCATGCGCCGTCACTGAAGCTAAAATACAAATGTCTGTTTTCTACTCCTTCATTAATTCTGCTATTGTCGGGTTTTGCGCTGCACAAATGTCAGAAGTAGTACTTTTGTAAATGTCAGTTTTGTAATTTTCTGCAAAACAAAGAAAGATAGTAATCTAACTTCATAGATGAGGACACGGCAGAGTCTCCGTGTTTGTGACTGAGCTGAGATTTGGACGAGCTTAACCGTCTTGCTCTTCCCTTTCCTCTCTGCTGGCTGCCTGCTCAATGGGCCTGTTGAGCCTCTTGACACAATTATTAATTGATCCTCTTCAAACTGATAACTGGAATGTGGAAGAATTTCAAGACTGCATTTCTGGCATGAAATGAAATATAGCCTCCAGAATTCCAAGAGAGAGAGAGAGAGAAGCGAAGCGAAACCAGGCGAGATAAGAGAAGAGTTCCCAATGTCCTCAACCTGTGGGATATGATGAATGAATCACAATCTTCATCATCTCACCATATGGCTCTCGCTTCAACAGCACGACGTGGCCCTCTAGTTTACTGCAGGATTGTTTCACTTAGCATGTGTTACATCATCAGTCCGGCCATGCGGGAATGATGACGTACGCTGCTCCATTTACAAAGCAAGATGGAATCATGGCTGACTGCAGAACGACTTACGAAATACTCCAGACTTCTTCACGTCTGACTTGACTTCATGAGGATGGAAATCAACTTTGCCAAAAGCAATGGCTGCAAGTCCAACTGCTCCAAACCTGATGGAGTGATTACTTAGAAAAGCGTGTGCACATCGTGCACCGCCAGCAGTGTTTCCCATATTTAGAATTGATTTTGGAGGTCCAACTAAATATATTATCTCCCATCCCCCCCCCAAAAAAGGCCCGCCACAATTTCTCTTGTTGATTTCTTCAATTCTTCTTTTGTCAACCTAAATGTTTTCCAATTCCAATTCTATAAAGTCGAGAAAAGAATCAAATGCTCACATTTGAGAAATTGAAACCAAGTGAATGTTTGGCATTATAATAAATGACTAATAAATGACTCAAACGATTTAATTTTCTGTCAAGCCATTTAACACTACATGGGATCGTTGGCTTGGTGCTTCACTTTACCAGCAATGCAAAACACAATCAAGCATTTCATTAAAGCCGTCATGGAGAGCGAGTGCATCGATGAGGGAACCAGTGGTAATTGTTTATGAACCAAAGCAGCAGGAGTGACTGTCCCGTCACGTGCATTTGCAGTCATTGCTAAATTACACGCCTTCGGATCGGAGCGTCAAGCAGTTCTCTGCAACATCGTGTTAAAGTCAGACAGACGTATGAAGGAAGGTCCATTGGGGAAATCCAGCCAAAGCGAGTTAAGTGCAAGGCCTGATGTATCTTTTCACCTCCATTGTCTGGGATTTCACTTTTGTCTTATCAAATAACTGAACCTGCCAAAGAACACGGCGTGGACTGACAGGCCTCCGCTAAGCCTTAGAGGATTGAACCAGAATATGTTTCCGAGTGGAACTGATGATGGAAAAACATAACTGCTGTCTTGGGAGACAATATCTTGGAAACAACTGCCAGCCGTGAATGTTTCAGCTATTTTAGCTCCGCCTAGTTCAACAAATTCACATGTGCACATAAAAATACCCATTCCCTCTAAATCAGACTGGAGACTGTAGTTTTAAAGCTCCCACATCTCTTGCATGTCATAGATGCTGTGTTTTTCAATCAGTGTTATCAAGGAGAAGCAAGAGGGAGAGACTGTGGTTTTGTTACGGTCAGGACTACTTGACTCTTCTATGATAGGGAGTGGATCAGACAGATCCAAGTCTGAGAGAGTTGATTGCCTAGGGACTGTAAAAAGATGACATTACACATGCACGTGACCCCGTGAAGCACTGTGGGAGCAACATAAACACCCTTTGCTCACAGATGAGGCGCTGGCTGTGGGGCTTAGTGTTTTTTTTTTGGTGATTACTCCTGTGAGGCCTGAGATATTATATTATTAACTAGGTATAAGTTAAGAGTAGACTAGCTTTGTTTCAGATTATGTTACTATACTGTACGTGAGTGCTGAAGACCTGCTTCACGTTGCTTTCTAGCTCAAGATTGTAATTCTACTTAACTTCATACCACGGTATGACTGAAAACATGTTAATAATAAGATCTCAGAGCTATCAGGAAATTAGAGCAGCGCGTCCTTGTTATAGGCCAGCGCTGTGAACACCGGGTCCCTGTGGACTTGTAACCCTAGATTGGTGAACCTTTAGGCATTATGTGGTCTCTCTCCACTTTACTCTGTGGGACAAAAAAACCTGTGACAGGGTGTTGCAGACTTCGCCAACGTTTTTTTGTTAAGTGTCATTTGTTTGTTCAGACCACTGTCTCCTGTTGACAGTGATGGAGACAACTTTGAGCCATTTCAAGGTGGCCATTTTCTTTCCCATTCTCAGTTGATCAGATCTGACCCGTGACCTTCAGCTGTGTAAATCTCTATGCTCTATACCTTGCAAATAAAGACTGATTTCCCATTTTCCTTCGGCTTGTAAGAGCTGAAAGCACCCCCTGTCTCCCTCTCTGCCTCTCCATGTCTTATTTGTGAGAAAAGCAGGGAAAAACAGGACTCATGTGACCCAAAACAAAGGCACCACAGCCTTGTTTCGTGGCCCCCGGAAGAGAAAATGAGCTCACGACGCAATTTGCTTGCGACGACAACTCCTGAAAGCAAGCTTTACAGTCTGATTTTAAGGAAACGAGGGCATGTCTCATCTTACCGTAATAAGGCTACGTGCCATTTGGCTCGGATTTAGCTCGTGACCGTCTTTTAAGGAGTGGCAGAGGAAGCAGCCTGTGTGTGTCTTCTTATGCATCCATGCACATCACGGTGCATTCATTATTGAAACACTAAAGGAGGCATCACCATGCACGGAACAGGGGAGAAATTGCAGATTGCTGCGCCCCAAGGCTTTCTTTTTATGCAGTCACCATAGTGTGTCACCCTCTCCTCTAACGTCACACTCCTCTACCGGCTTAGTCACCGCCTGCCAATTTAGAGATACCTCTGTTTTCACACAAAGTCATGACATGCATTAATAATATCATGGAAGAAAATAATCCATCATTAAAGCAGTGAGGTGACACTCATTCAATAAGTAAAAAGCTGTTATTTTAGATGTCTAATTAGATCACGAGAAG